TGGCAAAACCAAAGCACTATCTGACCGTAGAACATTACAAATGCTAAATGAGTCAAATTTGCTGAGGAAAATAGCAGCAGATATTATATTCCTGTGACTAATGCAATGTTGGACTTTGCATACACCCATGTTTCAAAGAATATCATACACTGTCTCATTTTGAAAGATTGCTTACTTTTCATTGTTTGCTCATTGAATTTTTATGAAAGACAGGTTTAATATTTTAAAATTTAATTGTGTGTTGTGTTAAATAAAATCTGCAATTGTTTGGATATTTTTCCGTATATATTTATTTGTGGGATAAGGGGAAAATTATATTATTCTAGAGTGAGTATTTTATAAAATTTTTAAGGAAAATATAATATTAAAGGCTTGAATTTAATTCTGAAGACTACCTGAATGTTCTTCTCATAATGTACCCAAAATTGGATGACAAATTTCATTTATACGAATTTTTTTCCAAAGTTAGGCTTAGCAGCGTAAATTGCCCATCCCTACAGGACGACGCATCCGGTTAACGTGTCGTCCCAAGAGAACGCTTTGGTAACAGAGGTACCCTTTGCGAATGGATTAACGCCAGATATGTGAAAATTTTGAATAGTGGAGCACATAAAACATGCAGTTCACAGTTCGAAAGCCAAACAATATAAAAAGTCATTTTTCATCACCTTAAAAATCAAAAACCTGTTTTCATCATAATGTAAGATTTCAAAAAAGTGTATTTCAGTCATAAAAGTTGACTTTTTATAGGCTTTGAACAAAAGAAGGAAAGTATGTACAGGCATGAAAGTTTTCCGTGGAATTCCGCTTTTTTGAATGTCACCCGGGCTGTTTCTGAGATCAATGCAGAACCGTTGAGAAATCATGACCGGCGAATGTCTGTGTGTGTGTGGGGGGGGGTAAACAGAGGACATGCTCTCTCTCTTCCTCTTTTCTTTGTAAAAAAACTTTATCATGCCAGAGATTGTGAAATGCATTGTTTCACATCAAGGCGAAGTAGGTGGGACTTATGTGGAAAGGCGAAACTAGATGCGTAGATCATGCCAGAGATTGTGAAATGCATTGTTTCACATCGAGGCGAAGTAGATGGGACTTATGTGGAAAGGCGAAACTAGATGCGTACGAATATTGAATCAAAGCAGAGCAAGCAATCGTCAAACGAGAGCTGACTTCAATAATTTCAGCAATCGGTGCTGGCGCCATTTGTCGGTCATACGGATAGCCTATTGATGTTATCCAGAGCATGTGCAAGTTTTAGCGTGTATAAAGTGGCATACTGAAATTTTATATTCCTCCTTTAACTATATGTTATTTTATTACTATATTATCTCACATGACTACTTTTTCTGGTTTTATATAAAGTACTGTTTATTGAACTAAAAGTGAAGATAATTGAAAGCTATAGTAACAGTTATATATATATATATATATATATATATTATCTCTAAAAACGTGTCATTACCTGAAAATGGGCAGTAATATGTAACATAAATATATATATTAGTATGTTGTAATGTTTTATACAGTATTCATGTATCAACTATTAAATTAAGTTACATAAAGAGCATCTTAAAGAAGGTTAATTCATTACAATTTCTTGATGATTTACTGATTTTTTTTACAAGTGGATGATAAAATTAATAGCAAAATAGTAAGTGCAAGTATTATTTTAGTTTAATTATATGTTTAATACTTTTTATATTAAAATGTGTTTTTTAGGTCGTGCGTGCGCATTTAGTTTTTGTGTAATTTTGTGTCCACGTGTTGTTCAGCTTTTTTTTTGCCAACTTGCACTTTCATGCCTGTATGTATTTAATTGTGAAGACGTATCAATCATAAAAGTTGGTGGAGATTGCACAAATCATTCCAGCACCCATTTGAAAGAACTAATTGCTTTTTAGTTGGTTAGTTAAGTTATACAAGTTACAGGTATAGCATGTAAAAGCTTAAATGGCTAAATTTTGCTCATTGTATCGCAATTTTTTATCTGAAGTGTCCTTGATGCACTATCTTTTCTTGATGCCAGGATCTTATAATTTTGTAAATTTTTCAAAGCAAGCTGTTCCATTAAAGGCAGGTTACGTAATGTAATCATTTTTTCAAAATGAAGTTTTTGCACTGGGACCTGGCTCATATTCATATTGCACATGGGAAAAATCGCGAAAATGGCTACGCTGTCAGCCCGCTTGCCGAGATTTGAACCCTGGATCAAACTACGAATGTTCAGTGACTTTACTGCTCTCCAAACCTGAAGGAGAAAGATATTTGTTAACTTAATACTCTTCAGAAATTCTAAACCAGCTTCTTGAGAATTATATTGCTGTTACAAGAAAACCAAGACAAAGGTCTTATGATCATATTATGATATTATAATGTAGATTATTGGGGCTAAATCATTGTGTTTGGCAGATGTTTTTGTTTCCTTTGAGTTATAGTCCTCTACATGCTTTAAAAGTCTCCTTATATGATTTTTTGTTTCAGAAAAAAAGGAGGGAAAAATTTCCAATATTTTTAAATATTTCATCTTTTTGAGCTGCCTGGCTAGTTGATGCTTGATAGCTGGAATTTTTACTGTATATTTAGAAAATTCAAAGTTAGATCAGCTCTTTAACGTAACCAATTTTTTTAGTGATTGTAACAAATTATGATAATTTACTCTTTCTCATAATTCCAGATATTTTATATTAAGATGTAATGTGTTAAATTTGTCACTTCTGCTTAACCCATGTGTACATAATATGAACAAAAATGATTTTTTAAAAACAAGTCATAGTAATAAACCCAGAAAATTTTTAGTTGCATAGAGATGCTAACATTTGCAGCTTTTGCATAATATTTACCAATTTCTTCTCTCTGTTATGGAATTAACAGGTGTGCCAAAATTCCTATAGTTAATGCTCAGTTCCTAGCTGTTCCATGCGGCTGAGCAAAAATGAAAGATCAAAGCTTATCCAATTGTAATCAGTATTATTGGATTGACACTAGCTTTTATGTTTGTCACATAATGTATTATATTATCAGGCTTTAATGTATTACATCTTGAAATGTAAATATGCATATAAATCTTGCTTGTATTGTTGTTGAAGGTCATTGTGATAAATATTCTAACCATGTCACCTTCAAAGAGAGAAAAAGGTTCTTCAGAAGTATAGACAAAGCTGTAAAAAGATCCACATTAATTTGTAGTCGGAAAATCCTGTTGTATGCTGTAAACAATTATGATTTTGTAGTTAACCATGGGTTTGCTTACCAGTGGTTGAGTGGTAAAGTCTTTGGACTCTGGTGGATCAAGTCGTGTTCATAACCTGGCAAATAGGCTGGCTGCATGGAAATTTATGTGGTTTTGCTATTTGTAACGTGGGTGCAAGCTGATTTCCCTTAGGAAGTCTTCCATGAAGCCTCCTCTTAGGAAGATAACTGCCATGTGCTTTGCCATAATCAAATAAACCAAAATCTAATCTCAAGCAGTCGGGAGACAAATTGATTTTCAGATCACTTGCTTCTCATTGAGTATCACATTCTTTATTCCTACACAGTTTGAAAAAGTGTTTTGTGGGAGGTTTGAATAATATATTATTCCTCTTAACTGGACATCTGAATTTTGAACTTTGTACTAAAATTCAAATGTCAAGAGAAAGAAGTCTGACCATGAGCAACCTTCCACTGCTCCTGTATAATAGTAAGAAAATAGTTTTTGCTAACTTAGAAAACACATTAAATTTTATGCACATCATCAATGAAAAGTATGTAACGTATAAACTAACAAATTAAAAGTCCACCAGAATTCTGGAGATTCTCCTGGTCTGGCAAAAATTCAGCAAATTAAATGGAAGTAGATTATGAAAGCATCCATATGCTTCAAAAGTAAAATGAACCATGACAGCATCTGAAAAAGCAAGAGATTTCATTCAGAATATATATTTGAACATTAAGTTACTGCTTTTCAATTTCCATTTTGCTACAAATGATAATCGATTTTTGCAGTACTTATAAATTATCAACTCTTTTAAATACCCATAATTGTATATGGCTTCTGAATGAGGAAGGCATTTGTCCAAAAAAAGTCATGCTGTTATCAGGTATTTGATATGTCTATTATTTTTATCTATTTGTAGGTCAAAGTAATCAACTTTGTTATTGTGTAAATTAATTTCTAAATACTTAAGTTATTTGAGGTTTTTGGCGAAGTGGGTTTGAGGTTGAAATTTGAGGTTTTTAATTTGTAAATTGATTTTTAAATACTTTACTTATTTGAGGTTATCTTTGATTATATTAATGTTACTGTAGTTGCTGGAAACTATCATATTACATCAGGTGGCCGAAGTGCAGCTCGCGAGCTTGATACGGCTCTTGCAGTCAATTTGTGCGGCTTGTGCATATAAAATATGGTAAATTAAAACTATTCAGTGTCCAAAAAGAAGTAATTAATTAGTTTAGACTCTTTTTACGAAGTTATCAGGGATTTCTTCCCATTTAAAACCTCCTCTGCTACTACTATAATGATGTAAATGTGAACTTGTGGCTTTTAGAAAATCTAGGTGCAGCTCTCGAAAAGTGCGGCTCTTACTGACATGAAGTTTGGCCAGCTCTGTATTATATTATGTACATAAAAGTGCTTACAAATTTAGATGTTGTAATTTAATTACTTAATATACTCTGTGTCTATTCATGTATACTTATGGTTTTAGATACTCTTTCTGATTTGTAGTTTATTATTTACTTGCACTTTGCCTGTGAGTTAAAAAAAATTGATTGACATAAAACATGCTTATGATTTTGAATTTAGAGCGATTTTAAGTTTCAGTTTATTTTTACAAATTTGTAAATTAGATCTGTATATTATGTTTTGGTTTACCTGGATGCTCTTCACCTCCCTAAAATCTCTGTCTCTTTATTTATTTATTTATTATTCTCTCTCTCTCTCTCTCTCTTTTTTTTTTTTTTTTTTTTTTTTTTTTTTTTTTTTTGTTTCTTTAATTGTGGTATCTTTTATTCTGTAGAGGAAGCTGCTGCAAGACCTAGGTTAAAATTACTTCCAAGGTCAGTTAAAGATCCTGTAAATGCTGTGGCTGATACATCAAATAGATCGAGCATTTTTGGAGAGGCAAAGCCTAGAGATGAAAAGGTATTTACGGAGAAGAAAGTTGACGAATTGCCATTTAATTATCCTTCAGAAATAGGTGTGAAGTGACAACCTTTAAAAAGCAATTGGTATTTGTGATATCTCTACAGTTTTATTTTCATATTTCTGCTTTAAGTTTAAAAAGCTTAACATACATTTGTTTTTATTTAATAATAAAATGAATGGTTTATAGAGCATGTTAACAGATGACAAGTAATTAAAATGTACTGTGCAATCCTGTAACTAAAGACCGTGAAATTCATGTAAGTGTAGGTAATATCTGTTGTTAATATTAAATTTGTATCAGTATTATATCCTTAGATATCATTATTCTTAAATTTTGTATGGGATTGGAACAAAGAATTATAGATGCAATATGAATGTTGATACTATTTATTCATTGTAATTGCAGTTAATGTGGCTAGAATTTTACTGACTGTAAAATGAATCTTATATTTACACAGACAATTTATGCCATTGCTATTGAATAAAATAAATTCTGGTGTAAAGCTTTATGGCTAGATTTCTTTAAGAATGTTTCTTTTTCTTCGTTGTAAAGATTTTCCCAGGTTGTTGGGACTAAATATTCGTAGCATTTAAAAATACGAATACAGTTATATATATGTCAGTGAATACAGCTTTCAAAACAAAATAGTGAACACTGTTTTTTATAAGGATAAAATTAATCATGATTAAGTAAAACATATTTGGGAGATTATGGAAATTTACACTCTCAGTTCATACATTTAGCATTTAGTGCTTCAATGCCATTGAGAAGCAGTGACACCCTTATTTTTTATGTAATTCCCTGTAACTGTGTATGTATCTCATGTACTCCTTATATTGGTAAATAAAACTAGTTATAACAATGGGAATTAAACATATGTACATAAAACATATTAAATTTTGTGTGTATAAACAGCACATATATAAAGGCCCTAATAAATTAGAAAATTTATAAATATTTTCTACTTTAAATAGCAGTGGAAAGGCTTACTTCATGTCTTAAATGTAAAAGGGAAAGAATTAGCAAAGTTTGAAGGTAATGGTTTGAGATTATGATGATTTAACCCTTAAAAAATTTTTAAATGGCGACATATACATTTTTGTGTGCAAATTAATCGGCTCATTGAAAGCTATACATTGCATTGAAACAATACATGTATGAGAAAAATTGCTGGCATAAAGCAATTTCAAAGAAGAGCATTGCAATGGATCATTGACAACGCAAGAGAGGAAAGGGGGAAAAAAACTTTTATTGTAATTGTCAAGTTTTCAGCGGGCCACTATCACAAATAATGCATTGCATGTGGGAGATCGTTGATAACAATGATGAATGTAACATCACTAGAGGAATCTGTAACCTTCAGTTTTATGGCATCTTTCAATAACAAATCAGTTTTATTGCAATCTAACAAATCCTGCGGATCTGATGCACTTTAGATTTTGGATAATGTTTTCATGCTTGTGGAAGTGACCTCTTTGAAGTAGGAACTGACAATGAATGTGTTTGTGTGTTGCCTCACCATACAGTCACTTTGTGTAAAGATGCTGGTACCACATTGTAAGGATTTTCGTCAGCCCAGTGAATGCAGTTCTTGGGAGTTTACATTCCCAGTCAGTGTGCCTCATCCATTCTTAATATCCACAGCGGGTACTTTCTATCTTCATTATATGTGATGAGGAAAAAAGACATGCTGCTTAGATCCAAGTTGCAACATCTGGATGAGTGGGAATTGATAAGGAAACATCGGCAGCAGCCTGACTATTGGTTTTCATTACATCCAAACTACAGGCAACACTTCTTGTTATATGCAGTAGACCTGCAATAATTGTATTATGCACTTGTGCAACAAATTCAACATGAATACACGGTCGTCCAGATCGTGGTATCACACCTGTATCCAGTTCAAATTCTTTTACCAAATAATGTACAGTTTTTATAAAAAAATATGGTTTCTGTGATAAACTTGCATTGCTCGACAGCATTTTCCCTGTTCAGATAATAGGACCTTTATCAGTTCACCAAGTTGCATCTCATTAGCATGTTTGAACATCTGATTAAAGAAATGGTCTTTTCACGCTGTTTGTTAAGGAATTCCCACAAGCAATGCTTTCTTCAGAGTGTTCTGTGATTGATTCTTCTACTGTCTATCCTTGTGAATTACGTGAAGTGCATCAGTGCACCTGCTGTCTGTGTTTTCATTGGTCCTTTACAGAGCTGTTCTGAATAGATGTTTTATGCCAGCAATTTTCTTTATAAATATATCGTTCCAATCTCTTTTATGGGTTTTCAATGCACTGATTAATTTGCACGGAAAAAAGTGGTTGCTGCCATTCAAAAATTTTTCTCTAACCATAAACCTTCAAATAACAGTATCTGAAATTTTATTAGGCCACTAGGGTCTCATATATTTTTTTTTTTTTTTTTTTTTTTTTTTTTTTCCCATGTTAACTCTGTGTATCCCTAGGGATGTGAAAATCACTGTCACTTTCTCCTGTATGATGCAGTCTTGCATAATAAAATTTGGGTAGAAAACAATTTTCAGATTCCATGATATAAATGCACATTTACTTTAACCTTTACAGAAACAATCACATATTCTCATTTTCAACCTGTTATGTATTTTGTCAAGTCTTTCTTCTGTAAAGTTTCTTTGAAGTAATTAGCGTGTGAAAGAAGAACATGTTTTTCAAACTATTTGAGGTACCTAAGACAGAATGAGAAAATACGACACCGACTTGAGAATTGCTGACATTTACGTTTCATTTTTATATATTGTATTATTTAAATTATCTATTTAAGTATTTGTGTTCCTTAAAAAAAAGGAATAAGTATTGTAGAAATAATCAACAACTATGCTTATAATTTCCATTTAGAGCTTTAAAAAAACTTACACTTTTAAACATTAATTTCATGAGTCTTGAAAATTTTCCAATTATGTAGAATTTTTTTTATTGATTTGTGATGTATTTGTGTTGTAAATTAATGCAGTGTAGCATTGGATTTTACTAATATTCACAGTGTCTAGAAAAAATCGTATTCAGAAGCTTCAGGTGTTTCAGATGGCATGTGATTTGTATTTTATTCATACTTTCATTTAATTTTATTTACTTAATTTTCTTTTGGCCAACTAATATTTATTGTTAGTTTTATTTTTTTGGAAGTGACAAGAGAGCACCTTACAAATTGTTTATATGAGTGATGTATTTATTTAAAATTCAAACTTATTTTCAACAACAATACTCTAGAATGTATTTATTTTATTAGTCTCTAGAATAGCAGTTGCCAACCGGTGGTCCGTGAAAACTTTTTGATGGTCTGCAGAAAAATTGGGACCTTGTTCGTATTTTTATGAAGAATTCAGTTTAAGAAATGATGAGTAACAAAATCTATTGTGGAATGTGGATTATACTTTTTTAAATTTTAGCTACTGCTTTTAGCGAAATTCATTCTTAATTTAGCGAAATTTAGCTACCTTTTGCGACAAGTGAGAGTTGGCATCCATGGATATGCTGCTGTTATCACTAATAGTGCAAACTGGAATTCTCTTTCCTTTTGAATTACAAACATATGCTATTGTGGTCATTAAGAACGCAGTTTCTCTGTGTCAGTAGGCATCTTGATGGATTTTTATGAGAACATCTGCATTCTTGTTTATAACTGCATCACTGGTACTTTTTGTTTTGTCTAACTCTTGATCAATGGCACCATTGCTGAATAAGCAATGATTATTATGTTTACAGTAATTAAAAATTGGCAGCATAACACTGTTAGTTTATGGATATTGCTTTGTGTTTGCTGATTCCTTCTTGCTTTTCGTGAAGTTCTTTTTCAGTCATATGGAGTTTTCTGTACAAGAAGGTAAGATTTTTGTACTTTTCATGTAATTTTTCAATGTGAACGAAATATGTGTAGTTTGCTGATTATTATTGCATAAATGTATTTACCTTTTTTTTAATTCGCATTAGTTGTTCACCAAATATAAAATCGTATATGTAGTGGTCCGTGAAGTTCTAAGAGTTGACGACTGCTGCTTTAGAGTATGTGATACACTGGCTAATCGTAAATTGAGAAAAAATCGCAGAAATGATGATTACTAAAAAAATTACGTGTAGAATTTAATGAAACCTAATCATAGTATGTAATACATAGTAAGGTATAAAATTACATGAAATGAAATTACCAGACAATTATGGTGTTACAGCACTTAGCATATATATAAAGTGAAAAAATTGAATGTGCCAGTTTGGTATAGGAAAATTACCTTCAATATTGAATTTGATCTTTCCCAGAAGTAATAAGTGATGTGTGTTGCTATCAGTTCTATAGGAAGTCAGAGCCATTGGTCTTGCAAAGAAGTTGCGAGAGTCTGAAGATGAGGATTGACAGCAGCTGTGCATCTTCCTCAGGCATCTCAAACATGCTCGATAAGATTCAGATCCACTGACTGAGCTGGCAACTAACTCCATATACTGAGTTGTTTGCTGCTGAAAATATCATCCACTATGTGAGTCCTGTGCAGTCTAGCGTTGTCATCTTATAGCAGGAACTCGTCATCTGTTGCCCCAGCATAAGGGTGCGCATAAGTATCAAGAATGTTATCTGTATAGGCCTAAGCGTTCACGATTCCATGTGGAAAGACATGGAGGTCTGTGCATCCACCGAAAGAGATGCAACCCCAAACACAGGCACTGTCTCCTCCGTATGTACCTCTTTCACGATTGTATCATAGATAACGAGTTACATGTTGCCTCCAAATCAAATAATGCCTAATATTTCTTGCCAAAGGCTAAACCTGAACTCATCCATAAAGAGAACAACCGATCTTAGCTGAGTAGGAGATGTGGTTGTGTTTCTTTATGCTCATAACCACAAATATCGATCATCGACACTGAACCTTCTGGCCATCATTGACTGAACCTCGTGGTTGCTAAATCTGTGGTTAGAAAATTGTTGCTAAAGTCTATGAACCACAGAAGGACTTGCATTTCACGATCTGGCTACTTCTGTCTGACTTTTTTCTTGCCACTACTCTACCAATAGTTCTCCATCGCAGTTCTTCGAGCAAATGATGCCTGGAGGTCAATTGTTTGAAATTGGCTATCCCAGATTTCTTCTCAGTATCACAGCGAAATTTACAGGCTTTCTCTCAAACATGCTATTTTATGTTCCTCACAGATGATGCATTCCGATTGCATGGCCACTAATTTGCATACTGTACTTTTTCTCAACAAATCTTACTTGACAACATATTCAATTTTGTATATTACCTTATTTTTGGATGAGTTATTGCTATTTTTTGTGCTTTATCCCTTAATTTTTGGAAGCCATAGTAGTTTATTTTGACGCATAAGCGATAATTTTCTGATACCCTTGGCGATGCGCAAGAGGCTTTTTTTTTTTTTCCCAATCCTAATGTATAAAAATGGAAGGTAAAGAAACTTTAATTTAGAAACTTTTTTATGTTTCTTGTTCAAATCTTCTTTGTGTGTGTGTGCATTATTCCCTGTA